GAAACTTGAGGTGTCACTCCACCTACCTCCATCAGACAACAGTTTCTCCCTTCTTATGGGTCAGTGAACTCCATCACTTTACTTCAGAGGAATAGCTGGTCTTACCTTTAAGAAAATCAGTTTGCAGGGCCTTGAGAACCTCTTGTACTAACCCTTTACATGGTGTTAATACTTATAATCATGATATATGCAGTATTAACACATGAACGTATGGAATACATAGTAGGATAATGATCTTTGTTTTATATAGCACCTTTCATGTATAACATTTCAAAGCCCTACATGGTGTAAGACAGTTAAAGTAAAAAAACAATTACAGTAACATTTTAAAATAATGTAAAAGACGGTAATAAGAGATGCAGTGAAAGATGAGGATTGATGATGAAAGATGATGGATCTCTGTTCCTAATGAAAGGTCACTTCACATTGTAGATGCTGGAGAAGAAGGAGCTCAATCTCTGAAGGGATGGAGCTGTGATTTGCTAAGTTTAGACTTAGCTGTGGAGAAGCAAAATCACACTTAACCTAAAACATGAGTGGATAGGCTCTTTGTTTTGCAGATAGGAGGCACCGGTAGCACCTGTTTTTAGCATTGTTGTGTGGTGTTGCCTTTTTTCGTGTTTGGAGCCTCTTTGGAATTGACAGCACTCCTCTCCAGGACTGAAGGGTTGTTGGTGTCCAGGAGCTGTCTCTGTTGTGGAAGCTGACGTCATGGTTGAGCTTCATACTCAACCACACTGGGGATTCCCTGCGTTGAGGATATGTTCCCCAAGACCAGGGAGGAGTCCTCGACATTGTAATCGGATGAAGTCGATGTCCACATTTGTGTCCTTGTCAATGAGGGACCAAAGTCACACTGTTGTCAAGGTCCTGAGGGGTAGTGTCCAGTAGTCAGTGCTGCCGTGGCTGCACTGGGTTCTATATCCTTGATCACAAAGGGTAAATACTAACGCTCCAATCAAGGCTCTCCAAACTCTTGTGGTGAAGATGGAGGTTACTAATACTCTAGTGGAATTAGCGGCTTAGACACTGAAGGCAAAACTCTCAAATTTGGGGGCCGAGGTCCTTGGGGGTAGGTTCCAGATATTTAAAGTGGAGGAAAATGTCATCAAGACTGCAATAGGTATTATTTAGAGATGTGAAGGAAAGGCAGTCTATAAGGGTTTTTGTGAGGAAGAAAAGTTGTCTTAACGAAAACAAAGAGAAAATAGCAAGTGGAGAAATCTGTCTTTCCAGGGAGAGGGGAAGAAATGCAGCTCTCAGTAGGCCTGGCAGCAGCACGTGGGTGAAGATACAGTTAGGATACATGTTCTAAGATGAACAGTGTAAAGCAGCTCCTGCTGTTCTGCTTTAGGAGAACAGTGGACCCCTTGAGATTATGTCAATTGGTCCCCACAGGATTTATATAGTGCAAGGTCTCAGTATAACATCCATGATAAAGCACTTTCATCATCGATGATGCCATTCTAAATTAACTGGCAACTAAAGTTGGGGAAGAAAGTAGATCACAAATGTAATTTGGTGTTAAATCATGCAGGGGCTTAAACGTCACAAATAATCTCTTTTATTTTTCACTAGGGTAGCTCACAAACGAGTATTATCACTTCCGACATTCCCTTACTGTTTGTAATTAGAAACCCCTTATTCCGGATCATAAGCCTGCTCGCAGATGAAATCTGCATTTATTTATACACAGGTTATTTCAAAACTCTTGAAATGTAGCTCTCATCAACACTTCAGTGTTTCCTAGTAACCTGTAGAGCCTGTAGATATAGAACTGTCATCTACTACAGTCCTATAGGCCCATTAATTCCTCTATTAATATTCAAATAGCACTGGTATAGAAATTAAGAACAATAAAAATCTAAACAAAATATTTCCTTTGTTATATTATTTGCATCTCATTTTTATTTGCATGTATTTATGTACAAACCACTCGTTTGATTTTCATTATTGATCTGTTTGTAGGCAACTAAATATCATGTCACTGGCATTTTTAAAGAAATAAAAAAGCTGATCATCACTCATTCACCAATTATAAAAAAAACATAAAAGTACAAGAATTTAATTTCCTTTGTATATTCAGTTATTTTTTTCTAATATGATCTCTTTCTCCTTCCTTATGCGTGTTGCTTGCCGGAATAGGCTCTAGGTTCCCCATGACCCTGTTTTGGATAAAGCTGTTAGAAAATGGATGGATGGCCAAACTGTTTAAGAGCTGCTTCAGTTTAAGCTGTGAGCATTATCTGTTATGTCAACAAAATAAGCTTGAAAGAGTTTAGTGGCATGAATAAGTGTTCAGTGTTAGGACTGGAATCATGTACAGTACCAACATTTTATCTAGTACAGTTAAATGTGTCGATAGTTTTTTTTTTCCAGCATCTTTGTGTTTTCCTTGGAAAACGAATAAAAATATCTGTCAAAGTGAAAAGTCATCCATTGTTTAGAGACCAATGTTCAGCTGACTGTCTTGCTCCCGATTGGCATATCTACCTGATATGTGTTTCCCCTCTCAAATACAAAGCCCTCACAAATGTCCATTTTTGAAACTGTCCTACTTGCTTCGTAACACGTAATCTATGAGTTGCAGTTTTATGACATCATAAGATAAACTCAAGCTAGAGAAATTTTGAGTAGATTATTTTATCTTGGAAAATGGCATTCTCTTGCCAGTGCTCAGATCCCAGAAATCCTCTTTCAATTGCATTATTCCTGTACTACTGTACTTCAGTAAAGAAGCGACCTTTTCCAAATGTCTTCAGACTCATATCAAATGAATATAAAAAGTTCTTTGTTTCTCTCTTATCCTGAGAGCAATCTGGCAAATCTCTCGTGGGACCATTGCAGTTTCTTTCACAAGAGGGGCTGTTTAGTCTGAATGTTGCTCTCTGCTCTTTCCGCTACACAATATTTTACACTTGCCAGCCCTTCCCAGATTTATCTCTCCCTCTCTCTCCTCACTGCCTTTCCTGAACTCTGCCTACCTATCTGCCCACAGGCCTGCTTTCGATTACTGCCTGGGCTATCCCAAAAACACTGTGGGCGCATGCTGAAATTTCCATGCCAGCGTTTAATTTAAGGTTTCCGCTTCACAGGGGAGGGAGTGAGTGGCAGGACAGATTAATGCTCCGTGCTCATATCCAACCCTTTCACCTTGGGGATCAGTGCTGGAATGCAGCCCAGAAACTAAAAGGGTGAACATCATCTAGCTCCTCAAAAAGCACTAGTCTGGAAAAGGTTTTATTCAGTGCTTAATCCCCCTTTCCATTACGTGTGACAAGGTGACTCGGGACCCAAAAAGGACTTGAAAAGTTACTAATTAACATGCAATATTGTTACCAGTCATGGACGTTTCTGATCTGAAGTGCCCAAAAATGAAATTGCATATAGTTCTCCATATCTTTAACTCCAATGTACAGTGGATTTCTTATTACAGTGTGAAGATCCCCATACTTAGCCCACACTGGGCTCTAAAAAACTATTTTCACATAACATCAAAATCATAACACTTAATCATATATACTGTATGTAAACTCATTATTTCTAACTTTGATTCATACCTCACTCCTTTTAAACAGGGAGTCAGATAAAGACGGAGAAGAATATCCGGATGGGAAATAATAAGTAAGAAAAAAAATCTACAAGACAAAAGCAAAGATTTAGCACAGATATAACATTTAACACTAACAGACACTCCAAGCTGGAGGGGAGATTGTTTGCTTAGTAACTTGTCACTTGTGTCTTTTGGGTAAATCCTGCATTTCTTACATATATACATGAATTGTTTGATTTTCAGCAGCTGAAAACTTTTTTCAGAAAAGAACAGACTACTAATAGAAGATGGGAGCATACAAACTAAGGTACAGTGGAAGAGGGGCTACTAAAATAGATTTCTAAAGACAGAATAAACTATCTGACCCTGCAAACACTCTTTTTCCACTAGTAAAACACAATACTGGAACTGATTTATTGCTATTTATCGCTCTCATTGCCTTTATTAATATTAAATAAACTTGATCACACCTGAGAAGAAAAGGGCTAACACCCATAAATTCTAAATTAAAATACCGAGATGTGCTAAGATGATGTGAGATGCTCAAATTAAGACAAATTCTGCTTGAAGGGAGTGTTTGAATCAATGAGGGAAAGCAGTAGGGTAATTTTGCTTTAAGGCGATGTTATCTGGGGTGCAGCTTTATGCCTTTTCACAGTTCCAGTGGGAAGCTGTCTGCACTACACGTCCTGCTCTGTTTTCTGAACACAGGTTCACCAGAGCAGGATGATATGATACAAACTTTCCCGGAATCCAAATTCTACATCTGCTTATGCCATCTAGGTGTTTTCTCAATGCGGCAAGGCAGGCTTGTAATTAACAGGCTTTCTCACAGAGGGATGGTTTCTCCCATGAGTTCAACCGTGGCTCTATACTATCCTCTGGTGGAGAAAACATTTATTGTAATAACATCCTTCTTTTAAAACCCTTTAACGGGTGTCTTTCTCATTTCATATTTCCTAGCAGAGAACTCCACTGATTTACATTGGCCCTAAAATTCTTTTCTAATGTTCCTACCAGTAGGTACAGTAAAAGGTTTGTTCTGGAGAATGTTAAAAAGTACCACTGAATAACAAGTCTGGGAGTCCTTGGACAATGCCGAGCTTCATACAAACATTGTACTGAGGTTATCCTGTCAATTCGGTGTACATTTTCATAATATAAATCATGGTAAGCTACATTTTAGCTGTATTTTCAGGTAATGCATTTAATTTTCAATATGCACTCCACATTTTGTAAAGTTACAGGGCATGAATCTAAACTCATCACCAAGAATTTAATTATGCAACTCATGTAACCAGAGAACAAATTCAAATACCCAGGCACAAAATTCCATCACCCAGGCACAAAATACTTCAAGCTTAATACACTTTACAGCTATGTCAAATTAGCTTTGTTACTTAAACATAGAATCACACTCATACAAAAACATAATTAAAAGCTCAAGAACCATCACAATTTTATTGACATTTTACAAAGCAAATCAAACCAGAACAACTCTTCAACATGGATGATATGAGATTGCTATCTTCAGTTTTAAGAAAAGTCTGAAATTATTCATTTTCTGTTCATTTACTGCACAAGCACCAAAGTCAATTTTGGATTCAGTTCAGGCAATAAGTCTGAAAGTTTTTAATTTAGTGGAGCGTATAACGAAGGAAGGAAGCCTGAATCCCATGGAATGGGATATTCATTAACACAGTGGTGCTGCATGATTAGATTGACAAACATTTGGTAAATGACCTTCATACACAATGTTGCACGTAGCTTACAACTGTGAGTCGACATAATTACACTTTTTGCAGAACATGGGTTATAACAGCCTTTTTTATCATTGGACATTTTCTTCCCTAAAACAGAGGATCAGACATCAGATTCAAATAACACTTTATTAATTCTAAAACCCTGAAGGAGAATAATAGACACTGTAAAAGTGTACTGCATTGATTTCACAAGGGTTGGCATATTATCCTATTCAATATAGATCTATTTCAAGTCAGCATTGTTACCCAAAAGCAGAATCACATTCATGGAAAAAATAGTTCCTCTGGCAGAAACGGCACAAGTATGCTGGGACTTTACAGAGGCCGCCTATGTACAGTATAGATGGGTAATATATGAGCCGGATATGTCCTGCTGTGAGGGGCCTGTTAGGGAACATATGATTGGCCATTATTAGTTAAGTTTTTTAATGACAGCTATCATGGATTGTAGATTCTTGGCTGATAGCTCTCCTCTGAACAAGGATCCTTATAAGATTTGTTGAGAAAAGTGGTATGTGGTATTCCAGAAAATATATCCACAGTGTCTCCTGCAGCCAATGAGGTACAGTTTCTCCCATTAGTGATTTGCAAAACATTGCAAACAAGGGGGGTGGTCTATAATCTGTTTTCTTGAACACATTTTTTCAACACAACACATCATAAAGTTACAGGTAACAGTGATAAACATGCAAAACAAGGGGCTATTCCACACATTTTCTACCTCTTAATTTTATGTTGTCATGATAACGATCAAGTATTTTAAAACCAGCTTTTACTGAAAAAAATAAAATAGTTAACAAGAATCAAGATGAAAAAAGAAAGTAATATGAAAAGATTTAATAATGCAGTATATCAAATGTATGTTAATGGGAGCTACAATTCCAAACCCACATATGACACTGTGTGGGTTTATCCTTACACAATAAATGTCCAAATTAATGTATTTAACCCTTTACCCTTTGGTTACAATTTCTGGGCTATATTCAATAAGTAAAACACTACACTACTGTTTCTATTGAACGCCCTGTGAACAGAAAGCATGTTGGAAAGTAAGTCAGTAGCCTAAGGATCAACTTCTCTTTTGTGTGCTGTACTGGGAGGGCCTCCATGTTAACCAAAAACATATAAGCATCTTAAACTGTGTTATAATGATGTTTTTATTTACCACAGTCCATATGTACATTTTAAAATACACAGTGCAACAAATGCCACGTGATGTACAGTTTGACTTTATACAGTACAATATGCTTGAATTCTTCTCACACTGCTTGTGCTGTTTGGTTTTCACTGCTATGTACAAGCACTCTGTCCCAACTTTAAGAGCGCAGCAGGTTCAGACAAGAAGGCCAACTTGAATGAATCACATTCCCCAAGAAGTTTTTGGGGAAAGTGCTGTTTCTCCCAGTCACGTGACCAGTTCCTGGAATGTAACTGGTCAGGTGCATGTTTAGAAAGCAGGAAGCTTTCTGAGTCATCTTCTGTGTTCTCCATTCACCAGAGGCGGAAGGTCTGACCATGGGACTGTAGGCCTGAGGAATGTGTGAGTTTTGTGAAACTGAATTTTGGGAGTTTTTTGTGAGTGTAAGTTTGTGAAGAGTTTTAAGGTAGACAAAGTTTTGAAGACTTGTTCCTTTGAAAAGCCAGTAAGGATCTTAGCCACTCGGTATAACAGTTAGGGACAAAAGGAGTTCAAGTTGGTAGCTCAAGTGGAGCTTCGGCTTTTGTTGTGATATTTGGTGAGGTGTTTTTTTGGTTCCCTCACTGTAAATAAAGAGTGCTCTTTTGAGCTTGACAGTTGTGTATGTGTGTCGGTTGTCCTGTACTCGCCTATATAACAGATCTGAAGGTGCCCTGGTTCTGCTTATTTAACACTACCCTGTCATCCAGCACAGCAGCCATGCTCTCGACTGTGCCAGCAGAGCCGTCACGGGATTCAGTTGTGTTTTTCAACGCAGGAGCAGAAAGGGAAGGTTCCACAGCACGGCTGGAGCCACGGCCGCCACAGGATGTTCCTCCAAGACATCTGATGGGGGACATGGGTGAGCGTCTCCCGGTGCTTTTCGATTGCCTCCCGGACCCTGCGGAGAATTTCCGGGAAACGGGGATCTCCAGTGGGAGACAGCGGCATGGACTCAGAGGGGTCTTCAGACAGATTGAAAATCAGGGGTGGATCGTGATGGGTGACAAACCCTAAGTGACAATGGCATATTTTGGTGTCATAACAGCCGATTGCTCCCTTGGGGCTAAAATTAGGGGTGAGCAAATGCACCTTGAAAACATCCTTGCCTGTGAAAGAACCAAAGGCATGAAAGGGTAAGTCAGGGGTGCCACATAAAGAACAAGAACGATCAAGAGATGACATGTGCCAGCTAGTTGTTCACTGAGACTATTTTAGTAACAAGAGACAAATAAAAAAGGCTGGAAACTATGAGACTATTAAAAGGACAAATGAACAGATGCCAGCAAAGGACATGTATTCTGGGTCAGTATTCTCAGACAAATAAAGAATTAACACATTTTCACAACACATGAATATATCCATATTATACATTGGAAGGTTTCATTGTGAACAGTGTTTCCCAGGTACACATTGGAAAGCAAAGGATATTTTTTTAGAATAATCACAAAATATTTTTAAAAAATCTATGATTCGCTCATGATGGTACACAATGATCATTCTGAGCAAGATGCACAATTTCCATGTCTACATTGATATCTGTGGAGTGAAACAAGGGTCAGGACAGATGTAGCACTTACTGTTTTGAGGATGCCAGCGGACTGCATTTAAATACGCCCCACAGTAGTGAAACATGAACTCGTGCTCTGAGCGCTGAACCTTGCCTTCCAGTAAAGGCATTAAATCACGGCCATCTAGAATCCTTGAAGAGCAGAAATAAAAATAGACACAATTCAAATAGCCTCTTAAAAACTTTTACAACAAACTATGGCAAAAGCTTTTTATTTGAAAACTTGCTGCTTTACTAAACCATTGTTAAAAACCAAGTACAAATGTGTGCTGTACAGTATATAATCGTACACAGTTATAACAGTAACTGTATTTCAACATTTAAGAGAAGAACATTCATATTGCTGTCGCCTTCTGCAAGAGCTGTTTTGTTTTTTAATCATGTGTTTTGTAAAGAACTGGTTCCAATGCTTCCATTGTCTATTACCTGCCAGCAAGCAGAAGACCCCAATTTGTCTGAGCAAACAGCCAAAACGAAAAATCAATGCCAAGCACACAGACACATACTGCAACCAGCAGAACCCAGGGTAATAAATCCAGCGACCACGATATACAAATCTGAACCATTTCTACAAAATAAAGGGCAGAGAGAGATAGAGGCAGACAGACTGACGGCTGCTGCTGATTAGGCGGTGGAATTAAGAAGTCACAGTCTTATCTCAGTAGCTGCAGCCTGGATAAACAAAACACAGTCATGGCTCCAGTCAGTCACAGCTCTCTGCTACCTGTCTTTCGGCAGCTCTCCTCTGGCAAGGCCGGCAAGAGTTGGGTACACATCCATGAGGCTGGTTGGTTCATCGATCACCCTGCCAGCGGGCAGCTTTCCAGGCCATCTGAATATCCCAGGGACACGGATACCCCCTTCCCAGCCTCCCATGCCTTTACCTCCTGAAGCAGAACATTACCCAAACAGAGCTCAGGCTCTGTGTGCAAAATACACCAGGATATCTGAACAAAGTTATTGCGAGTGGGCCATGCAACATTAATAAAGATGTATTTTAAAGAATTTACTCGGAAACATCATCACAATTCCTGGCTGCAACGAGCGTAACAAATGTTTAACTTTTTTTCCCCAGAGCTGAGAGATACTGTACCTCGGTGTCTGAGATTACAGCATACAGTATGTCAAACTACAAAAATGAAATAATATTCTTCACAAAAAGATCTATGAAAATAAAACAACATTCTATTGTTAATTTTTAAATATTTACTTGAGAGATAAAAAAAATTAATGCGATTCTTGGGCACGCTTTACATTTTTTAACTTTTCTCTACTAGCAGAAGTGTTACCAAACTAAGATAACTCTTGAAGATATAGACTGTGGACATGTGAAAATATTTCTAAGAAAAACCTCAGTTCAAGTAATTACAGATGTTTCCCTCTGGAGTCTATTTTAACATAACTGTGGTGCCGATTCGAACCAATTCTATACAGCCTGTACTTGTGGTTTATGTCATTTCTACAGAGTCAAAGAAACTGCCTGAAGATTTAAAAGGTCAATCCAAAATGTTTTCTATTTGTTTAAATGTAGAAGTCACACACAAACACCTTCTGCTAAAATTTTCTCTAACAATACTAATCAATTGATTACATTATACTGTATAGCAGAGGTGAATCATTTTTTACAAAGGATTGTCTAATTTCTATTACAATAATTATATGTATTGATAATTTTATTTTATGTCACAAGTAAAGATGTTCAGAGGTTTTAAGGAATAGTAATGATGAAATGCAGCATAGTTTCCTTGCCTACTAAACTGTTTTTTGAAAGGGACAATAAAAGATTAATATACATTTACATGAGAAAAACAGAAGAAAAAGAGAAATAAAAGCTTTTTTAGAATCCAATGAAACTGTACATATACAGTAGTATATTTAAGCATTATTTCTATTTGGCATATTTTGATAACATCTACACTGTTAAATTAGTATTTTAGTCATTTTATATGGTTGGTCCAAAATCACTTAAGATATATGTCTGACAAAGAAATTCAAACCCAGGAATGAGATCTGTACCCTTAAACAATTATTGCAAACTTTTTATTCCTTTATTTAATGCTACTATTTCCAAAACATTAATGAAAATGGAGAGACTAAATGGAGCATTCTGACAATTAAATATTTCAAAAGAAGAGTTTTGTTTTGAATGTGAATGTTTTCTAGACGGAAGGCAAAATGTAAAAAAAGAACCCCTCTCATCAGAATGAGAAAGGACTTTTCAAAAATAAAACAGTATTTGCATTGTAGAGCACTGCACTGAGGACTGACTCCCAGTCAAGGGAAGAAATAAAACATTCTTTATTCTGCTCCAAAGCCTGAGGTCTCATGGAACCTGGCAGCTGAAAGGTTGCTGAACCCTTCTACCTCTCTGCTGGAATCTGGATGTGAACACACTCTAAAACAGACATGTGTAAAGAATAAGGAAAGACATTGTGTGCCTTATATCCTAAATTCACAAGCGTGGGACAGAGCAATTTTTTTTTCTCCAAAAATTATAAGGTGGCTTTTGACATTTGGTTTTGCAATTCTAATATTTAAATATGGACGTAGACAGTTTGTGCCTGACCAACAGCAGAGACAGGATCCTGTGCAAGCACATACAGTATTATTCATACAACCTGGGTTCCTACAAAAATCATTACATCTTGACCTGTGTGAAGGGTATGTAAAATATGTAGTTAAGGATATGATCCACAGTCAATCAGATATGTCCAGATGTAAGATGATGAAACCTTTACTATTAATGAACACCAGACTGTTTAGACGATGAAGTGAATAACTCATAGCAGTAGCAGACTTGGAGTCTATCACTAGAGGCCACGGAAGAGATGGAAACAAAGTCTTTTTTTGTAAATGGTCTTCCAAGTAATGGAATCCTGTAGTATTTAAAGGATTTTTTTCTTCCTACTTCTGAAACCACTTGTCACTAAAGAATGGGCAGCCCAACAACTTCATACAGATGTAAATTGGTAGAGAGAAGTTACAGTATTTAATATTAACTTAGCGATGGAGATTGAGGTTGTGTGTTAACCATGATGAAGGCTCTGGCCCACGAAACCTTCAAAAACCTTTTCAAACTCTTCTTCTTCGAATGAATCACTGAATCAACTGGAACAAATTGGATTTCATCATCAACTAAAGCTTTCTTGCTTTTACTCCCGAGAGGCTGTTATCAAACCACTTTGAGAAGTACCACCTGTGACTTAGACTTTCTACTCATACATAGTTTGGCCAATTCAATCTAAACACTAAAGTTTAACCCTAAGTATCAAGAGGATGAACATATGAATAAACCATAGCGACAAGGTACTGGTACAATATTTACAAATACATGATTGCTATTTCATTTTCTTCAGTGTTGATATGGAGCTCATAGCATATGGTCAAGCAGTTTTAAAACCAGTTGACCAAACATGGTAATAATTCCAATGAGTCTAACTTCTTATTGCTCCGTTTACCAATTTGGCAACTCTCACAGTTCAGAATGCCTTCATTGGTGAACTGCTCATCAGTTTAATAAGGACTCTGCAGATTTCATCCAAATCTGCTTCTCACAAAACCTACATTTCTCCAAGAAGTTGATGCTCTGCTGTCATAATGCAGAACACCAACTGCTTGGAGAAATGTAGCTTTTTACACAAACTGAGCCTGTTCAAGCACTCCAAACATGGTCAGAATCATTCAGGTGAACAAACAAGTTACCAGCCATAATGTTTGTGGTCGCCATAACAACATGGTGAAGTGGGTTCCTGCATATTCCATCCAGGCCACCTGACCTTTCACAAGATTCACACTGCCTCAGTTTTGGGGAACTCCTGCATCAATTTTCTTGCAATGTGTTAGGAGTCATCACCCTCTGACTTGCTTCAGGCTTGTTCCTCAGAAGTTGGAGCAACCGTTTCTAATGCTCACACTGGACAATCGTCTGCTAAGCGAAATAAGCCAATATATGGCTAACTCCTCTTTAAAAACCTAGTCCTATACCTAGTATGTATATATACCATGCTTTGAAACCTAAAGTCATACCTATGTTTGGCCCATGAACCTCGAGCATGGTAGGTACAGTATGACTAGAGAACTTTGACCAATAAAGTTGTTAACTCACAGCTCACTCACACTGTTTAAGGAATTCAGTGGGATCTCATTTGTAAACTTCAGAACTTTTTGCAGTATAATAGTTAATTGTTAGCCTAATTGCAGTTGTGTGGGTAAGTCTGAATGTGCACATATTGTAGGTTTAGACTGTGTGAGTGCCTGTGTCTTTCACTTGCTGTCAGAGGACCAGAGTATCAATGGCCACAGACCAGGGAAGACGGGAGATGATAACCACTGGTGGGAGTGTTGGTGAAAGTAAAATCAGGAGACCAGAGGTGGAGGTAGGTGCTGCCTTTGTGAAGTCCAGTGCAGTGTCACAAAGTCAGGGAGTCCAGCCCTGCATCCTTTGTGTTCACATCTGTATCAGAGTGAGTTACAATGCTAAGGTTTACAAATGACCAAAAGAATGTTATACCCATACGGTTGTATATAAGCTCACATGAAAAAGCCACAGAGCTGCTATTTTCCACACGGAGAAAAGCTTACCAACCTCACAATAATTTTCCAGCTTTAGTCCCTTACCACATTGGCACTGAAAATCAATTTAAAACTGAAATATAACTGCATAGATATCTTCACTTCCAAACCTTCATCCCAATGGTGATTCCAAAGAAGAATACTGCCTGGCCATATTGCTGTACAATTTGAACTCAGCCCACCATAGGAAAAAAAAACAGTAGGAATTAAGCCAGTACACTGACCTCTGTAGATTCCATTCCAGCCTCCTTTCTGCCCACGGGCATCTCTATCTTCGATGTGCCCACCATGATCAGATGTAAAATACATCAAAGTCTTTCTAGACAGCTCCAGGTTTTCAACTAAATTCACAATCCTGCCTGGAAAAATGGCAAAGAAGAAAGTTCATGGCATGGTAACTCCAATTTATATTAAGATCAGCAAAACATAACTTTACTCCTCTTTTAAGCCCAATTATCTCCTCCTCTAATTGCAAATTACAGGCCACAATGAGATATTATGAGGAAACATATGGTAAACACATTGCACAAACCACATGACAAACAGCATTAGGCAGAATGCAAGACATGCTCTGTACTGTTTAATAAAACCAGTCTTTTCCAACTACGCTGGACTACAGATGTTGACTATAAAGGATGTAAAGTGTGTAACATTCTTTCGTTATTTTAATGAGCTCCATTTGCTGAAGAATACAGTAAATGAATCTTAACCGTTATAATTGAGACATATGTTACGGAAGTCTTGTGATTCTTTAAATCATTCTGCTCCCAGCAGTGCAAGTATTCATTTACTCGCAATGAAAATTACCTATCATCCAGTCCATCTCTTCAACGCTGTCCCCATACAGCCCATGCTTGCTTTTCCCTGCAAAGTCCTTCGAAGGGCTCAATGGAATGTGGACGTGGGCGAAGGAGAGAAACAGGAGGAATGGTCTCTCATGATTCCTGCAATGCAAACAAAATGATGAAAATGTAAAAAATGGGTAAACAAAATGGCAAACCCTTCAGTCGATTCAAGAACAGGATTTGTGCCCATCCAGCTCTCCAATTAATAACCTACTAATTAATTCAGGTATAACAAACAATTAAACAGCTTGCTGTATCAAAAATGTATTGTACCAAAAATTGGATATTAATCACTCTTGTGTGGAAGATATTTCAGATTAATTCAGTTTAAATAATTCTGAATGGGAAGCTTACTGCCTCCAGAACCATTCTCATGATCAGATTAATCTTACAATGAAATAAAACATCCACTTCAAACACGGATGGGTGCACACTTTTCAATTCTACCTTTTGATAAAACTTTCTGCCTCGTTTACAAGCCGCTCTCCAACGGTTTCCAAGTTCATAGGCTGCTCGACGACTTCCTGGTTCCTCATAAGAATGCAGTTCCAAGTCTGCAGGAGTCCGAAGGGGAAGTACCACAGGCCGAAGCCCAGGGCGTAGAGTACTGCCAGCAGAGCTATAACCCTCCAGCGGACTGGGGACAAGCCAGTGAGCTGCACACAGACCAAAGTCAGCACTGCCAAGGCCAGCAGCTGAAACACGTGTCTCATCTTCTCCTGCACGTCAGCCAAGACATCTGTCCCTTCCCCCGGCTTGCAGTCATTGAACAGGGTGAAAGGCAGACCGTAAAAGTAGTCAAAACCATGGTGGTTTGGGTGATGGCAGTAGTCATTTCTGCTCTCACAGTTCATTCCCAAATGCCACTTTCCTGCAACACATCCACCATACAAACACACCAACAAAAATTAAAATACAAACTATTTAAAATTGAATTTTTAGGCATTCTCAATTTACTCTTTATTATATGGATTTATAAATGTACTGTATTTATTGTCTTACACTTCACATGGAGTCTAGTGGAAAAAGGTTAAGCTAGGTTAGGTTGATATTACATGCCCCTCCCTTTTTAAAAATGCTACACTCCTTGGCATCGCACGTCCCTCTGGGCGTTAAAGTAGACTATGAAAATTTGTCCACATCTTTTTTATTCTTTTAGAATACTTTTTTCCTTACCTTCACTGGCAGGAAAAACAACCTTAAAAAAACATACAGAAAAACCACAGAAAATATGAAAAATACTGTTAGAAGAATCAAGATATGCTTCCAGTATGAAATGAGATCATGGAAACATTAAAAAACACAGCATGGAGTATGACGTCCCTGGCAGCCTTCACTCACTAAGCTCACTGGCTGCTGGGTGAGTGAGTGAGGTGTTCGGCTGCAGCTGGCTGGCCGGTAAGGGTCTCCTGCTGATGCCATTGTCTGTTGGTCCCACAGATGTACTGTATGATTTGGGCCAGAAGCAAAGGCTGTCCACAGCAGGATCTTTCCATAGCTTTCCTGAAGGCAGGCCACTTTAATCTCGTCGTTGGGTGGTCCTTATTTGCTCAAAACACTCGACATTTCCAGATTCATACACACGAAGGGGAAAAACTGCTCCCCTGCTTATGAACAGAGTCCCACTGACGTTGATCCCCAAAACAGGATGAGCTCATGGACTAATCTGCGTGAAGTTCAACCACTCTTCCTGTGCAGGTGCAGACCGCTGCAAAGGTCGGCTTGGTTGCAGTTGTCTGCACTGTCTGCAGCTTTTGAGAGCACTGGCGTTGTACCATTGCAAACACTGTGCAGTCATGCATCACACTGCTGGAAAATCGACATTGGCTATGCTGGAGTATAAAACCTGTTGGCTCCGGGACTTCATCAATGTGTCGCTTAACAGTATGGTTATCCTCTATCCACTCCAAAACCACTCCTGTGTTAAATGAGATTTCTTAGCAATCTTCACTTCAGTATCTCCACACACAGTGTCTTTCATCAGATTGAAATGGTTATGATTAGTAAATGAGTGGAATCATTAGTGATTGAGACCCTACCACTCCTTACTTTTGCTCTTTCACATTCTCTCTGGCAGCACCAAGACAGCAGTTGTGTGTCTCATCTGTTACTCCTCAGTGTCTTCCAAGCTGGCAGATCATTTTCACACACTGTGGCGCCCTTCAGTCTGTGTGCTGAGGGAGGGAGAATACTGTATGTAGCACTGCAGTCTCTTAACGACTATGCAGATGGATCAGAGGGACATGAAGTTCTCAGGCAGGTGTAGGGACACTGTGCCCTTTAGGATGTGACCTGTCCCTCACAGAGCTGGTTTCCCCAGACTAGTCTGCTGGCCATTGAAGCAAAATATCTCATTGTCCTGCCCATGTCAATTTTTTACATTAATTAAAATTATTTATGAATGTCTATCAGTGCAGATTCTTTATCAACCAAACACTGAGTACTTCTCCATACCTACAATCCCCGTCGTGTAGCCCTGTTCCTGCAGTATCTTGGCGAATGTTGTTTCATTTGAAGGGAGGCCCCCTGCACATCCTGTCCACAAGAGCACCTGTACCCTCCCTGTACTGGCCATTCCTGTGGAGAACATTATAAATTAAGACAGACGCAGAACTAACACAGACCACATCCCCAGGATCCATCATCCATCCACAAGAACCATCATCCATCTACAAGAACCTTCAAGGCAGAAAGACTTGTAGAAAGACTTGCACACATTCTTGTCTTGAATTCCCAGTCTAGAATACTTAATATTTCTCCTTCCTGATCATGATCTTTGCATTGAGATAATGGACACAATCTTTCTCTAAGAGGGGTTTCTGAATTATCTCTATGGCAGAGGCTTCAGTGGAGGCAGTCTGCACACCAAAGGCCAAAAGATACTAGTTCATATTTTGCAGTGTTACTATATATATATACTATATATAATATCTAACAAATTCAATTAATAGTTGTAGTTACGTTTTTTTACTTAAATAAATGGCAAAAATGGACTACCATTGTTGTTGGGAACTGGGGGAGGGGGGTAGGAGATGTTGTTCTGGTTTTTGATTACTGTTTGTTTTAAATAATACAGTACTAAAGCTTTGAAATCTAATTTAATAACTCATTAAATTGCAATAAAATTTAATAACTCATAAACTGGTGAAACTCTTTGTGTTGCTTTCACACACAAATGTATTCACCCTGTTCAGAGTTAATTACCAACTGCAGTTGCTTTAGTGCATCGTAAACCTCATGGACTGCACTGGTGTTGTTCATATGACCTTTTACAACAGCCTCACACATAGAGACATCACTGCCACACTTTTTCAGACATGTGAATGCTGCTTTTCAAACACCACGTCCATCGTGGCTGTGAATCCGGCTACAGAGGAAATTTCAGAGCACATCTGCAAACATGCAGAGCACTTCTGAATTCCAACTAAAGGGATTTGCTGGATTTCTGAGCCTTTCCCTGCTTGCCGTGGTTTAAAGATCACTTTTGAGTAACCCTGAGTTTTGATCACCTTTATACCAAACAATATTCTTTTCATTCTTATCAGCATGATACTTATAGTAGCCCCTCCTCTATATCTTCCCCATAGCAACATCCAATTCAGTCCGTAATTTTACAAATAAAGAGTTGAGAGGAAAAGGAGCTGAGACCTGATCGAAGCGCATATCTCCCTGTCAGGAAGGCTGCTCTGCTGGGAGTGCATAGGGGGGCTGCAGCAATGTGCTGCGTCAGCTTCACTCCCTCCTGGGCAAGTCTGTCAATGTTAGGAGTTCTGAAACATACAAGGGCAGTTATACTGTACATGACATGTACTGTATTTAGTTCAGGTGGGTAGCTGCGTCTGCATGCGTAGTCTGCAAAGGAACAATAGGTTTATTCCATGCTGAAAAAAAGAAGAAAGAAAACACGTTTCGGGCCGTGGGGCCTTCTTCAGGTGTGAGAAAGACAAGGCAGTAAGCAAAAGTAATGTTGCAGGAGAACAAAGGCTGGGAGAGAGGAGGAGTGAGAGGCGGGAGCAGGGGACAGAAAGAGGTGTGAAGTCAGAATAGGTGTAGAGAGGTGTGAAATGAAACTGTGAAATGAGAAAATTTAGAAGAAGAGTAGTCTGTCGTTAAGAGAAGGGGGAAGGTGTGATCCTAGCTGCAGGATAATTTTGGTTTCGGTAGTCTGGTTCCAATATGATCAATTGGATCTGTTAACTGTTTATATTAAAAATTTGGTTTAAAACTGTTAAAAAATAAAAAGTTAGAAAAACAGTTCAGAGTATTGAGAAGGTTTGCAACTGATCTGGCATTATGTCTGGGTGTATTTGATCAAAGATTTAAACAACTGGCTTACAAAGGAATTACCTCATTCTGCACATTAATCAAAAAGGAATAACTAGTAAGTTTTCAGAGCCTTAAAAACACATACAGTTTGGCAAACCAATATTTTTTTCCCCAATGTCTAGAGACACATCAGTACTTTTTGAAAGAGATCAAGGAGCACAATTCAAATGTTCAAAGAAATCAGATTTTTATCCAGGCTTACAGTAATCGCACATGAAAAACTGTCAACATTTTATTATAGTGTAATGAGCTGTAGAAAAGAAATGACAAACTACATTAGGAGAAAAGGTGAGAACAGGAACAAAATGCGAAACACAATGCACTGCCACAGATTAAAAAATATGGTGTAATTTTACTGGAAAAACGTAACTCAATGTTTTATAACCCAGGTAATAAAATCATCTCAGTACGGTTTGACACAACCATGTTGAAGAGATTGAGGTAATGGGGAAGGGGGTGATTCCCATTTATATTGGCAGTGTTTCAGTCTTATTGGGAAGAAGTGTGGTCTTTGATCCAAGAAATGTTTAGAAATATCAACATTTTGTTCTGGATCTGGGAAATCTGACGGACAAGGTTGAGGGAGGAGATACACTAAGTACTAGCTTTAAGGAGTTTTTTTGGCAGCAAAGAAGAAAGCTATACCATATAAAAAGTCCAGAGACATCCCCCAACCAAAGAAAACTATTATTATTCTTTCAGAGATGGAAAAATTAACCTATCAGTTAAGACTCCAGAAGAAGGTCTTTGAGAGATATTGGAAGAGGTGGATTATTTTTACTACCTAATAATAATTTTACTTTATCCTCTACCCTTTTTTTCCCTGTCGAACTGGAAAAGAATGTGTATTAACAGACTTTATACAGTATATTCATATTTGTAACTTCGTGTTTTGAGATGACTGGCAAACCTTACTTCTGATAATCTTGTTTGCATGTTTGCAAAACGTTACTGGTATACAATTAATAAAGTAGTTCAGGTGGGTAACTGCATCAATGTGTCGAAGAAGGCTCAACAGCCAAAACTTTGTGTTTTCTTTCTTCTCTTTCCAGCATGGAATAAACCTATTACTTGTTCCTATAATTAATTTTAAAAAGCCTTCTGCAGCAGCTCAGATGATACATTATGAAATTGTAGAGACATAAGGAAACTGGGAGTGGAATGGTGGCACAGTGATTAGCAGCACTGCCTCACAGCGCTGGGGCCCTGGGTTTAATTCCAGACCTAGGGTGCTATCTGCGTGGAGATTGTATGTTCTCCCCAGGTTCGTTTGGGTTTCCTCCGGGTGCTCTTGTTTCCTTTCACATTCCTAAGACATACTGGTAGGTTAATTGGCTTCTGGGAAAACTGGCCCTGGTGTGAGGGTATGTTTTATGTCTGTGTGTCTGCACTGTGATGGGCTGGTGTCCAGTCCAGGGTGTATCCCACCTTGCACCTGTTGCTTGTCGGCATAAACTCCAACTTCCTCTTTGACCCAGAATTGGATTAAGTAGTTAGAAAATGGATGGACAGATTAGAAGAAAACTAAAAACAAATTACAGATCATTAACCATCATCTATTATTGAAAATATGCAGAAACAGGGTGTTCATTTTCAAAACAATGAATTTGTAAACTCATTTAATTTGTGTATTGTAATTGTGTTTTATCTTGTGTATTTTTTAAATTTATTGTTGTTGTCATTCTGTAAAGCACTTTGGAAAGCTACCTTTAAAGGCGCTATATGAAATAAAGCTTATGATTATTTTTATTAAACATAAAATACTTCACATCAAACATCATGAAATCAAAATTATTAATATGAAACTAAGAAAACATCACAGACCATTAGGAATTGAGATTAAAAACTGCAATGTTTATTATTTTAACACAAAACAATCCTTGGAAAGGTCTTCATGTCTGTTCTATGCCTTTTTTCTATTAGATTTTGTCTGGGTGTCTAAAAAGACTCCCAGAATTCCCTCTGCAGTTATTCATTTATCCACAAGAGGGGGTCCCTCATTCACAAAGAAACCTCAGGCTTTGCTTACCCTCTTAACTGGAAAGATTAGAAATTCTCAAAAACACAGTAAAATGATGCCTTGAATATGCAAAGAGCAACAGTGTCTTATCTCATCCTAGTGTTATCAACATCATATCTGTTGAAATATGTACTTATTTCAAAGGTCAATTCTAAGCCTAAACCTAAGATAGAAGACATACCGTACATTGTATAAACTCTGATTTCCATGATTTCTAATATACATGGGTAAACTTGTACAAGTATGTAAAAAAACATGTCAGCATTCAGTAGCTTGAGTGTCTATTCAAGTGTCTGAATCAAGTCCTAAATTGCTCTTTTTTCCTGGAATTAGCTATCCAACCATTAATATTGAAACAAGGCAAGGTTGAGATTTATTCAGATGAAAGCTAAAGAAAAACCCTTCCTAGGAATAATACTTCTGTAATCCTTATTGAGATATGTTTTCTTAGAGTTGCAGGATTATAATCTTGTCTAATGCAATTAATATTACTATAATATTGATATAATATGGTGTGAAAAAGTGTTTGCCCCCTTCCTGATTTCTTTTTTTTTGCATGTTTGTCACACTGAAATATTTCAGATCATCAAACAAATTGAAATATTAGACAAAGATAAAACAAGTAAACACAAAATGCAGTTTTTTAATGAAGGTTTTTTAATGAAGGGAAAAAAAAACCCAAACCTACATGGCCCTGTGTGAAAAAGTGATTGCCCCCCCATTAAAACATAAATCAACTGTGGTTTATCACATCTTTGGAAAGCTGAGTTCAATTTCTCTAGCCACACCCAGGCCTGATTACTGCCACACCTGTTCTCAATCAAGAAATCACTTAAATAGGACCT